TGAGCTATAATAATAGGTAAATATGGAAGTGGAATATATAGAAACTCTCTTTATTATTTTCATATTTTTTTCTAAATCTAATACTATTCTAAAAAATAAAGCTTATTAAAAGTCTAGGGGGAGGGCCAGGCGAGTGGCTCAGTTGGTTAAGAGAGCAAGCTCTGAGCAACAGGGTCGTCGGTTTGATTCCCACATGGGCCAGTGAGCTGCACCCAAGCTGAGCTGCCGCTGAGCTGCCAACAGGTGGCAGATGGCTCAACTGGTGAGAACACGTACTCCTAACAACAAGGTTGCCGGTTCGACTCCCGCATGGGATGGTGGGCTACGCTCACCTGCAACTAAGATTGAACACGGCACCTTGAGCTGAGCTGCCCTGAGCCACCGATGGGTGGTCGGATTGCTCAACGGTTAGAGTGCGCTCTTAGCAACAATTCCCCTTTCCCAATTTCCCGACACTGTTCCCCTCCCTCAATTCCCCAATAAAATCTTAAAAAAAAAATGTCTGGGGGAAATGGGCAAAAGAGTTAGGCGCTTTACCAAAGAAGATATCTGGACAACTAGTAAGCATATGAAAAAAAAAGATGCTCAACATCATTAGTCATTAGCGAAATACAAATTAAAACCACAATAAGATACCACCACACACCTACTAGAATGGTTAAAATTAAAAAGACCTGCCGTACCAAGTGTTGGTGAGAATCGGGGGAAACTAGAACTCTCATACACTACTGGTGAGAATGTAAAATGGTGCAAGAACTTTGGTGATTTCTTAAAAAGTTAAACACATGTATCCTGGGTCTATGTCTTAGTCTGTATATATCCAAAAGAATTGAAAGTAGACTCTCAAAGGGATATTTGCACACCCATGTTCATTACAGCATTATTCACAATAGCTGACAAGCAGAAGCAACCCAGATGTCCACTGATGAATGAATGGATAAAGAAAATGTGGTTTATACACACGTTGGAATATTATTCAGCCTTAAAAAGGAAGGAAATCCTTTCATATGCTACAACATGGATAAATCTTGAGGACATTATAAATGAAATAAACCAATCACAGAAAGACAAATACTGTATGCTCACTTATATGAGGTATCTAAAGTAATCAAACTCCTAGAAAGAGAAAGTAGAATGGTGGTTGCCAGAGCCTAGGGGGAGAGGAAGATGGGGAGTTGTTGGCCAACAGAGTTTCTGTTTTGCAAGGTGAGAAACTTCTGGAAGTTAACTGCAAAACAATGAAAATATGCTTAACAGTACTGATATTCCACTTAAAAATGGTGAAGATGGTAAATTTTATGTTATGTGTTTTTTATCACAATTTTATATTTATGTAAATTATATATAATGTAATAATATAATTACGAATAATTTCACTTACCATATGATCTACCATATGATCTAATCATTCCACTCCTAGGTATTTATTCAGGAGAAATGAAAGCATATGTCCATACAAAAATGTATGCATGAGTGTTTATAGCAGCTTTATTCATAATAGCCCAAAGTGGATACAACCTAAATGTCTGTTAACAGGTGAATGGATAAATCAACTGTGGTATAGTTATCCTAGGGGTTGGCAAACGTTTGAGATGGAAGAGCTGCCAGGGGTCAGCAAACTGTGGCTCGCGAACTGTGGCTCTGAAGTAAAATGGAAAATGAAAATAAAACTATCATAGTTTCATTTATAAAGTTTTTAAAGGATATTATTCACATAATGGTGACTATGTGAAAATATATTGATGACTGTCGAATAATTTTTAAATTGTTGTGAGGGACAGGATTTGCTCTTCCAGGGGTCGGCAAACTTTTGAGACAGACCATACCCAGAGAGCCGCATGTGGCTGGCAAGCCGCAGTTTGCCGACCCCTGATTTATACAGTGGAATTAAATGTGAAAAGGAATGAACTATTTATACCATGCAATAACATGGATAAATCTCAGAATAACTATGCTGAGTGAAAGAATGCAGACCAAAAAAGTTCATACTATAAAATTCCATTTAGCAAAAACTCTAGAAGATGCAATTAATCTGTAATGACAGAAAATAGATCAGGGGTTGCCTGGGGGCTGGGGGCAGATGAGGGAAGGTGGGAGGAATCACTGAAGGGCATGAAGAAACTTTGGGACTTTGGGCATGATGGATTATTCACTATCTTGATTGTGGTGCTGTTTCACAGGTGTGTGTGTGTGTGTGTGTGTGTGTGTGTGTGTGTGTGTGTGTGTGTGTGTAAACTTGCCAAGTTGTGAGGGGTGGAAGGGCAAGAGAGAAGGAAGAATGGTACAAAGGCAGGAAGGAAGGGAAGGAGGGAGGGAAGGACGGAAAATGGAAGGTAGATTTGGGTGCATGTGCCTGAACACCGAATGGATATTTTTAAGCATGGCATCCTCTGAGCTCCAACCTCACTCAACACCCACATCCACATGTCTGTGCGGGGAATGTGGATTTTCAAGCATGACAGCGAGCATGCCCTTCCCTTTGGCAGAAGGCTGCTGCCAGAGGAGGCCTAGAGTGGAGAGGGAGCTTGCCTGGCAGCAGGAGTAACTAGGTGGATGTGAGCCCTTAGGAGGGAGGAGAAAGAGGAAGCCAGGGTGTGAGTTGAGGAGTTGAGGGTGACACCTTGTGGGTGCGGCTGGGTGCGGCTTCCTGCCGGAGCTGACCCCCATCTAGAAAACAGTAGGGCGGAGGCTGGAGTGGGCTCCCAGTTTTTGTTCCCAGATGGCAGGCGGGAATTAAGAGTGTGGCTCTAGGCACCAACAACAATTATTCAGGCTGTGTCAGTATCTCCTGCTCACTTCTGGTGCAAGGAGAAAAATCCAGCCCAACCAAACCCAAGAGGATTTAGGGGGTGGAGCTGAGACCTGCACTGAGAATGTCATGCACACACCGGCACAGGGAAAGAGGAAGCAAAAATAGCAGGAGACTTTGCCTCCCTTATGACTTGTGTCTGTTCCTACTTGGAGTGATTCCAGGCCCATTGGGAAAACCTGCCATCCTCCATACACTGCCCCAATTCAAGAATGGGTACCTGAAATGCTACTATTAGAGTTTCATCTTTGGGTGTAAGACCACCATTCATACTTGTGGAAATGTCCACATCAGCTAAGGGTGGAAGAGTGGGGGTGGGTGAGAGGGCCCCAGGTTCCTCCCAGAGTTAGAAGGGTGAAAGAAGGTGCTACTGAGAATGGGGGAGACTAAAGATGCTTAACCACCCACTTTGTAACTCTCCCCAGAGCTTTCCCTGAGAGGAAGAGAAAGGAAAATTCTAGGGGAGAGACCGATATGGAGGTAGCCAGGTAGCCAGGCTGTATGTAACCTGAAGTGCAGAGGAGTGTCCTGGGGCAGGGAATTAATATCTGCTCCAAGATCTGAGCCCCAAATCAGGGGACCCCCTAAACTCCAAGTCCCTAACCGACATTGTCATTGAGGAAAGAGTGGTGGGGCTCCCCAGCTGGTGGCAGAAAGAACCGCAGGCCCCAGCCAGCACCTCCTGTTTCCTGGGCCCCATCTCCATCCCCACCAACACCACTCAAGTCTTTCACCTTTTGGACACCTGGGGCTCACTTTTTCACAGCTTCACCTGTGTAAATGTGGAGGATGGGGAATTTGTCAGAGGAGAGTCAGAGTTAGGAGAGTCTGTCCAGCAGAGAGGTGAAGGGGGGGATGGGGGAGGTGGGAGTGGGGTGGGCAGTGGACTGGATTGCTTGTGGCAAGGACGTAGAACTCTGATGTTCTCAGTAAGAACTACCAGTTATTTGAGCATTGTGTTAAGGGCTGCGTCTGGCTTTGCTCCTTTAATCCTCACAATAACCTCTGAGGTAGGTTCCATGATCAGTCTCCTCGTGCAGATGAGAAAACTGAAGTCCTGGAGATAAATTACCTGCTTAAGATCACAGCGTTGGTAGGTGTCTGGAACCAGGATCTAAACTCTTTTTACAGATTAGGAAACAAAGACTCAGAGAGGGGGAGTGATTTCCCTGAGCTCGCACAGCTGGGGGCTGGGAATCCCTGCGCAGGACACTTGCCTCCATAGCCCACATTCTCTCCATCCTGCTGTCCTGCCCCCCCCCCATCCCCACCCCTTGCTGGGAGAAAGGATCCAGGAGGAAATAAAGAGTCAGGACAAGGGGAGCTTGGTAAAGCAGGAAGCAATTTTGAAGGGGAAAAAAAGTGAATGTATCCCAGGAAAAACCCTCATTCAACCCCTTAATCTAACTCCCAAAATATTTTTTTAAAACTGTATACACAAAAAGTACACCACAGCATTGCTTACATATACTAGTGAACATTTGGAAACTCAAAGGAATGGCCATGCAAAGTTTTCTGTACAACTGGGATGGAACATTATAGAGCTGCCGAAAAGGACAATTATAAAGACCTTATGGCAATATGGAAAAAACGTACGCTATCATATTGGTAAACACCCTTTAATCCAGGAATTCCTTTCTATGAAAATATGTTCTATGGAATTAACTCTAAATATGGAAAAGCTTTTCTCCTTTCCTTTTAACACAGATGTTCGCCATGGCCGTCATCCAGTTAGAGTGTGTAATACATGTCATTAGGCTCTTTCTTCTACCCGATGATGCATAGACGGAGCACAGGTGTGGGGACCTCGATTTCTAAACCAACACAGGTCAAGGGCTCTTCTCTCATTCGTTGATCAATATGTCATTCAAAGTCTCATATGAATATAAATTAGTCCCAGTTAGTTCTACATTAACAATACGATTTTATTGGAAAGAGAATAAAAATGAAAAAGAGTGGAATGACCTGAAAATAGAAGATATGAGCTATGTATCTCTTAAATATAGTTTTTAAATCCAGAAATATATTTGTGCAAAAGCCCTAGACACTGTCTGATCCATTAACCTAAAAGCCCCTTTTGCACGGAGATCCTAATTTCTGGCCACGGTGGCCTGTCCTGGACAATGACAGGTGGTCAGGTTCCTGCACCCGTTTCTGGCTCCACTGGGTGAAAGGCATCTCCAGGTCATAAACGTGGAGGCCATGCTCCTCTACTTAGCCCTTCTACTTTTTGTCTTTGCCCCGCCCTCCAGCTCTCCTCCTCTTTGGACTCCACATGGTACTTACTCAGTCGCCTCAAGTAGAGAACAGCGTCTTCGTACCCTCGGTAGTAGTAATTGTGCAGGGCCTGCAAGGTGGGCACACCAGGAAGGTAACTCAGACTGCAGCAACAGCAAGAGCCGCAGTCCCCTCACCCCGGGCAGCTACTTTATCACTCTTTTGCTTTTTTCGATGGGCTTTTCAAAATGTAACCATCCAGTGTCCCATCCCTCACTATCTGCTAAGAAGTGGGGAGCAGTTCCTGATCATGTGTCCATAGTCATGCTGCATTAATGTTTTAAACCATTTGCAGCTGATTATCAGCTTCCCCTGGGTGGGAGAAGGTGAGATGTTCATAGCAGAAGCAGACAAGGTGCGTTTGGGCCATAAGCAGAGCAGAGTTTGAAGACTGGGTTCAAACCCCAGTGCTGCCACTTATTGGCTATGTGGCTGTAAGTTCTCACAGCCTCATTTTCTTCACCTATAAAGTGAGGATAATAATAGTGTCTGTTGCAGAGGATGCTAAAGGCTCACACAAGGTAGAGCCCACAAAGCCTTTTCTATCAAGGGTCAGATAGTAAATATTTTGGGCTTTGCAGACCATGTATAGTGTCCGTCACTTCTTCTTTTTCTGTTTTTTTGTTTTGGTTTTTTTTTCACCCTTTAAAAATGGAAAACCCATTCTTAGCTCACAGGTTGTACAAAAACAAGCCACGTGCTGGATATGTTCATGGGCCATAGTTTGCTTACCCGACATTGCATGTCAGAGTGGAAGAGTTCAGTTAACATTCATATCAGTGATTCTGACATCATCTCATTTTACAGGGGAGAAAATTGAGACTGGGAGCCCTTAGGGTACTTGTTCAAGGTCACCTAGCTCATTAGCAAAAAGGCCAGGATGCAGGACTAGGAGGAAGTTTAAAGAATCTTTTGACAGGAGGAGACACAGATGCGGCTGAGTGGGCCCCATTGGCTCCCTCATTGCACCTCCAGCCCCTGCCGTCCTCCCCCGCCCCCCCCCCCACCCCTCCAGGTCCCTCTGTCTGTCACCATCAGGTCTGGGGGGAACAGGGCGTGGGTCATCCTGGTGATGTTCTCCAGGGAAAACTGGAAGGAGAAGTTGAACATGCGGAAGTCATGGAAGATGGCGGGGCAGTCCCGGGGGCAGATGTCCTGCTGCCCGCTGAAGGTGGAGATGGTGATGGAGTCAGTCCAGAAGGAGCAGGGCTGCATGCCCGTGAAGCCCCCATCGATGTACCGCTGTGTGTGTGGGGAGAGGCAGAGTGAGAAATGTTCTCCTGGGGTCAGAGGTCCTGCCCCCATGCAGGGAGTACACCAAGACAGTGGGTCCCTCAGGACAAGCCTTGATACCAAGGTCCAGGTGGGTAAGTGGTGTGCCTAAGGTCACTCAGTGAGTCCATGGTGGGCTCTGGACTCGCAGCCCAGTGCTCTGTTCCTGTACTGTCTCGCCTCAGCCATCTTACTGGTGCTGAGATGGGGATCTCAGGCTTCTGTGGGGAGGGGGACATCCATACACTAGATCAGGGGTCGGCAAACTGAGAGCCACATGCGGCTCTTTGGGTGCATTCCATCTGAAAAGTTTGCCGACTCCTGGAAGAGCCAATCCTGTCTCTTACAACAATTTAAAACTTATTCGAGAGCCATCAGTATATTTTTACATAATCACCATTATGTGAATAATATCCTTTAAAAATTTTATAAATGAAACTATGATAGTTTTATTTTAATTTTCAATTTTACTTCAGAGCCACATGTACATACCCAAAGAACCGCATGTGGCTCATGAGCTGCAGTTTGCTGACCCCTGGCAGCTCTTCTGTCTCAAAAGTTTGCCGACCCCTGTACTAGATAAATCAGGAGAAATGCTCCCCTGTTACAGCTACTCCTCCCAGGCTACCCCATCTGGAGCCACGCAACTGCTAAGGGCAGGCTTGGGGAATGGGGCACATTCCTGTGGCCTTTTGAGAAGGCGTATGTGTGATGGGTCTGAGCAGTTGTAAAATATCCCCTCTCCAGGCTGCCACGGGTCCAAACTGTCTCCGTCTGTTGAGATTGGGCATCTTCAACATTCTCCTGAACACCCTTGACCATGGCCTCACCACTGGCCACCATTTGTTCACCCTCAAGTCCCTGTCCCTCTGGGGCTTCTGTTTCCTCAACTATGAACAAAGGACCACAAATCCCGAGGCTGTAACTTTCTGTACACAGTTGACATGCAAGATGGGATCCATCTACTAGCTGAATCTTAATCTCTGGATTTCGTTTGCTCTACATATAAAATTAGGAGGGGGCATGGGTTGGACCCTCCTACTCAGAGGCCAGCAGCACCGACATCAGCTGAAGCTAGTTAGAGCTGCAGAGGCTCAGGCCCCATCCCGACCTACGGGGTCAGAATTTGCATATTTTACAAGACCCCCAAGTGATTCATGGGCACATCAAACTTAGGGAGGCACTAGCCTAGATGACCTGGAAGGTCCCAGCATTCAAGATTCCAGGTCCCAACATTGCAGGGTCTATTTTACACTCTCTGTCAAGTCTGGAAAAATCTGGCAAGCCTGTGGTGTCTTGATTTGCCAGACTCAGAGAGAAGCCCAACTTAGTTGGGGAAGTCCATTTTAAAGTCCCAGAAATCCATCTACGCTGGGAATTCTGCGTAGAAAAACACAAGAACCTTTTCAATTCTTGGTCTTTCCACTGAATTCTGAGGCCGTTCCTCTGGTCGCCCAGATGTGAGTCACAGGGACCCCCAGGCAACCCTGGCTCCTGGCTCCGCCCCTTCCCCCCATGCCGAATCACTCACCACACCACGGTAAGTTGGCGGGATGAGGCCACAGTACACTGGGACAAAGCAGCTGCAGTACAGGGCCTGTGAGGGGAGAAGAGGGCTGAGATGCCGAGGTCCTGGGGGCCGGGTGAGGAGGGCTCACCTGCAGGCCTCTGGGACACTGCCAGCCTGGCCTGCCTTAAACCCAAGGTGGAGGCACTGCCCTCCACCCCAGTTCAGTTCCTGGCCTAGCCCTAACTAGCTGGTCCTTGCTAACCAACTTGTCAGTCTGGACCTGATGTCCCAGCTTTAAAGGGAGAAGGTGGTGTCAGTGATCTCCAGGGTCCCTTCTAACACCAATTTCTCATGAATCCAATGGGATTCAACGATCATTAATGTGTATCTGGCTTGGGCCAGGCTGTGGTATCAAAGTAGGGAGAGATGCCCACCCTTGGGAATGCTCAGAGGGAAATAAGTGAGCAAGTGACAGTACAAGGGTGACAGGTCCTGGGATGGATGTGAGTATGGACATTGTGGCTTTGAAGGTGAAACAGCCAACCGAGGTGGGGATTGGGGGTGCTCATGGCAGGTAGGTGATGAAGGAAAGTTCCCTGGCAGGGGAGTGGGAAGGAGTGGGCATTGCAGGCAGAGTGGGCATCGCAGGCAGAGTGGGCATCGCAGGCAGAGGGCACAGCAGGTACAAAGGCACAAGGGCCTGCTCTGTGTGGGGTTTGCTCTGGTTGACATGGGCAGGAGTGGGAGGTGGTAGAAGATGGCTGGGGGGAGCTGGGTGCTAATAAACCCAGGGGAACATGAGGTGGGTGGAGGAGGTATCCAGGCCTACTGCCTATTCATCCTCCACCCCCAGGATCATGGCCAGGCTGGTGCGGGAATCTGAGGATGGGTGGCAAGAGCCTTGCATTCAGGGGAGGAGAGAGGAATAGAAATGTGGGGTGGAGCGTCATGCAGCTTAACCCCTTTGTCATGAAAGAAAATTGGGTATATCCACAGCACTCTACATCAATAAGAGTTCATAGCTGAAATTCATATTCAGCTTAGAACAGTGCACTGTTAGAATGCACTTTCCTAAGCGATAACCCATTTAGGGACAATTCAATCTTTTTATCAAGGGCCATTGGAAGAGGGGGCAGAGGGAGGGCTGTATCCACAAACTGGGAATAATTCAAGGGGGGGACACACTGCAACCCAGGCTGGAAGGCCCTACAGGAGATGGGACCTCCTTAGGTAACACTGAGGACGTTGAGAGGCTCCAGGGTTCGTACCAGGGCAGGAAAGAAGCAAAAGGAGGGGCTGGGGCCCTGGGGACAATGAGTGTTGAAATCTTGAGGATGATGACCAAGTCTTAATTGTCTTGGACCTCCCTCTGTCCATCTCTTCTAACAGGGTGCCTGACACAGAGAGATGCCAGGGGGATGAATGGATGGAAGGACTAAGGAAGTAGAAAATAGAAGGCAGGCAGACAGGTCGATGATCCCACGGACCGTTCAAGAGGAGCAAGACCAACCCTCCAATCTCTCTTTCCCCGCCCACTCCCTTGGGCAGCTCCCACTCCGGGCCCCGCCCCCACCCTCAGCCCACTCCCTTGCCTCGATGAGTTCTTCCTTGGACGTATACTCTGAAACCACGACACTCTCGCCGTCTGTTAGCCGGGTAAGGCTCACGTGGAGCTTCCCGGTGGCTGCCTTGTAGGAGTCCTCAGGCAGGGCCTGGTACAGAAACTGCCTCATCATCTGCACCATCTTGCAGGAGGGGGCCAAGGGCCCCAGGAAGGATTTCTTCACCTCGGCCACACCCACATTGAGGACTCTGAGGTATTCGTCTGTGGAGGAAGCAGAGAGGAGCAGGCAATCAGCTGCCGGTGGCCAAGAGAGGTCAATGCGATTTTCCATCTCACCCTATATCCAACAATGGGAAAACCTAGAATTCTGAAGCAGGGAAGGGCTCAAAAACCCACCTGTCATTCTGCACACAAGGAAAGCAAAGCCCTGGAGAATGAAGTCACTGGCTCCAGAGAGCCCACAGCTAGTCAATGGCAGGACTAGATCCAGGCATTCTGACTCTATTACTATGGCAAAGGACCACTTTCCTACCCCCAGAATAGCTTTCCCCAACTTCTTGTCACCATTCCTGGAAGTCCACCACCAGACAATATTCTTTTGGGGTCTTAGAGGCTTTTTGCTCTATATGAGATTCCCATCGAAACACGACACAATTGAAAGCCTTCACCAAGCGACCGCCCCCCTGGGACATGGGCTTAGTGCCGGCTAAACCTGTGGGCAGAGAGGGGGTACTGGGTTTGAGGCAGGTGAATTACAGGGAGGGGTGAACTCTGTCAGGAAACCATTGCATCATCCTTCCTTTATCGCCCCTGATACAGACCTGAGAGGGAGAAGGCCCTGAAATATGGAACACAGCTGTGCTGGGCTACTGCAGGCACCCCAGGAAGGGAGATGAACTTTCTTCCTCCTTTTGAGAGGGGCACAGCCAGGGCACATGTGCCAGGTGGGGTTTGGAGGGCAGATGTACTGTTCAGGGGCTGGGCAGAGGAAGTGAAACCTGCCCTCCCCCAATTCCCAGAACCCCACCAGGGAAGTTTGGATGGTAGGCTTAATAAGAACTGCTATCATGCTTGATTCTCACAGCAGTGCTATGAGGTGGGTATTTCTCTCCTCACTTTACTGGTTAGGAAACTGAGATACAGAGAGTTAATGTAACTTGCCTTAGGTCAGCCATCTAGTAAGTGGACAAAGTGGTATTTTTATGTAGAGTGTGTGACCCTAGAACCCATATTCCTTCCGCTAAACTAAGTCACAAGCTTCCAGAGCCAGGCATCACCTGCCTTTTGCCAATTGCTGCTGCTAACTTCTACCTCGTGCAAGCTGTCTGGGAAAATCAGGAGTGGGAATACCTCTAAAAAGGACTGCTAAAATTTTTTAAACAAATATTTAATCGGAAAATATCCTATACAGAAGAACTTTCTTACCATCAGTGTCATGTAGCAATGGCTACTTGGGAAGTTGTGTAGTCATGAGCTTTCTGCCACTAGAGGTAATTGAGCAGAGATGGGACAAGCCCCTTGATCAGAGAACTTATCAAAGGGATCTCTAGATGGGCAGGAAGGGCGAAGATTCCTTCTTATTTTGAGATTCTGGGATTCTCACAGAGCCTGACAATATCTCTGGGAAGTAATCACAGTGGACACTGTTTTCCTATTTATATTATAAACAGGGCAGCTGAGGCAGAGAGTCTAAGTGATTTGCCCACATACAGCAACTGGGGGACAAACCAAAGCTACTGATGATCTACTCCTCTTGTGTTTCACATTTCACAGATTATTCCTCATTAATCCTGGAGGTGGATAGAACAAGGAGCTTCAGCATCATTTTACAGACGTAGAAACTGAGGTAGAGAAAAGCTAAGTGTCTAGCTTGAGGTAAGACAGCCAGGCAGTGTTTGTTTTGACTCCGACCCCACCTTCTTTCTCTGACCCACCTTCTCTCTCTGGGTGTTGGATTGATCCCAGACGCTGAGGGAGCCTGAGTTGCCATGGTGATGGCCTTTTTCTCACCAATGTTCAGGAGCACAGCTGCATATGTGCAGTAGGGACTGACCTGAGCAACAGAACATCTTAGCTGTCACCCCCTCAGATGGGAGGGTGCTCCTGGAAGGTGGGAAGGCCCTGCAGTTTTACTGAGGTTAGCTTTACCGTGTTCCAACTTGTACAGTGTTTTCCCTCCAGAAGGGTGGCAGCCAACCCACCAGCAGGTTATGAAACAACTGAGCATTTGGATACCAAGGTGCTGGGTCACTGAGTTCTCGCCCACAAGACCAGTTGGGATGGGAAGTCAAACCAGGGTAGGGACATGTTGTTTTAGGAATTCTTTTTATTTTTTTTAGCCGAGCCATCCTGCTACCTATTGGCAGCTTAGCGGCAGCTCAGTTTGGGCTGGGTATCGAAGCGCTGTTGCTCAGAACTCAAACTCTTGAGCAAGCTCTTAATCAACTGAGCTACTCGGCAGGCCCTGTTTTAGGAATTCTTAATGAGAAGCTTGAAGTGGTCCTGAAAGGGTTGGTGACCTTTCCCACGATGCCTCGGGGCAGGACTACCTAGTTCAGCTTGCTCATACACTCCTGGGCTCCCAGCAGGGTGCGCTCGCTGGGACCCAAGGAAGGAAATTGGTTCTTATTGCACAAGAAATACATGTTCATTGTGGAAAAAAGAAAGAAAGAAAGAAAAACTTTAAATGCAGATAAGCAAAAAGAAAAAAATTAAAATGTCTTGGAATCCCTCCACCCACACATTTGGTTTATGTCTTCCTAGACTATATATTTTATATTTATAATAACCTATAAGAATGCTTTCATGGAGTCAATTTATTTACATTATTTTGTAACTTGCTTTCACCTGATAAATCATGTCTTTCCACATCAATAAGTACCCATTTATAACCTAATTTACAAGCAGCATGGAAAGCTATTGTAAGATTATAAGATTATTTATTGAGCAGTACCCAAAAGGGGTTGACTATTTAGTTTATTTCCTTGCTTTCATAAACAATGCCACAATCAATAATCCCATGCTAAATTCTTTGCTTGTGTCTTCACTTATTTTCCTTAGGATAAATTCATAGAGGTGGGACTGCTAGGTCAAGGTATGCATATGCAGTCTCGTCATGCTTATTTTAATCATGGCTTTTGTATATTATCCATTAACAGTCAACTCAGCTATTCAGGGTAGTGGTGGGTGACAAGGACAAAGTAGTGGCCAAGATAATAGAAATAGTATGGACCTCTCCAAAATACTTACACCTGAGAAGGCTGCTGCCTGGAAATTAGCAATGCTCTAACCATAACTGAGTAGCCAGGGAGGGAGGGGACAGGAGAGATTGCCTGATTTCTTCCACCCACTTAAGTGCCCAGTTTAATGTTTTTTCCTGATGCTTACTGAGGATGCATACCAAAGGACGCCTTTATCTCTGCCTCTCCTTGCTTCTCTTCTGGTCTCTATCTGTATGTCTCTGTCTTCAGAATTTCTTCCCTTCCCTTCCCTTCCCTTCCCTTCCCTTCCCTCTCTCTCTCTCTCTTTTCCCAGCTGAGGGAAAAGCAACTAATCTTCTGTGAAACAAGTCTCTGTTGGTAGAAAGTCGAGCGTGAAGCATGGCAATTGCTGGGTGCTGCGAGGAGGGATAAATTTAGTTTGCTTCTTTATGCATCTGTGTACTTTCCAGCACCTTCTCCCATTTAAAGCCTTCCTTCCAAGCTGCAGGCTGCTGGGCTCTGAGACACAGTGGCCCACACTGGCTACAGCAAGATGGGATTTCAAAAGAACAACACAGGAAAATTTAAGGGTGGCTGCTCCTACCCCCCAGCCCACGCTCCTCACCTCCTTTCACACCTTTGTATTGTCTAGGGGTGAGTCTGTCTCCCAAACCACGGAGATTCTCTGAGGGCTGGTCCTTGTGGTCTTCCTCCCCCTCTGTGGCCTATCGTGATGCTTTGCCCATTGAAGGCCCTTCAGGAACCTTTGCTGTAATATAAGCTGGGAACTCCTCACGGGCAGGGATGGGACAGACTCACCTACGCTCGCCAAACCTCCCACAACACTTGGTAGGAGCTCAATGTTTGTTCAGTGTGTGAACAAAGGAAAATAAAAACCCGACAGGGAGGAAAAGCCCATGATGGAAATACTCACAAGGAAGAGCTACTTGACTTAATTACCCAATAACAGCTTGAAGGCAGGACCATCCCAGATGGATGGATAGATAACAGAGTTAACTGTGTTGATATGTGTGGCCAATTCACCAGGTTTTATGAGTCTATAGTGCTAAGAACTTCAGTAGAAAACTAAATAAATAAGATCCTGGGACTGGAGGTTTGGAAGGTCATTTGGAAGCTGCTCCAAGTCTCAGCTACTCCGAGTCTTAACGTTTTTCTATGATCAGATCCATTTCTTAGAAAAAACTCAGGCTTTGGAGCCAAACAGAGCTGGTTCAAATCCCAGCATTGCCACCTACTCTCTGGGTCATCACTGGCAAGTCAAATAACTTCTTTCAGCCTCAATCTGCCACCTAGAAAGTGGGAATAATAATACTTACCTTGTTGGGCTTTTTAAGTGCCTGCACATAGTAAACGTCAATGTCGCTTATGCCAGTAACTCCCCTGTGACCATGGCTAAGCCTTAATGTTTCTGCCTTTCAGCTTTCTCCTCTGAACAGAGGACAATGATTCCTGCCCCACATCTTTATCGAGGTGTGTTCAGGCTCACGTGTGGATGCAAAAGAGCAGACTAAAAGCACCGTGGAGATGAGAGTGTGTAACCCAGTTTCAGAGTGTGGTAAGGGCGTGGGTTAGGTGTAATGTAGCGTAGGCACAGTTGGCAGCAGTACTCCCACCCCTGTCAACTTGGGGACCCTACAGATCTAGTAGGGGAAGGGGAGAGCGTAGAAAAGTCATTGAAAGAGAAGGAAAGGGATAATTAGATATATGTTTATCTTATTTATTTGCTTAAGTGCCTAATGTTTTCCCCCTTTGTGAGGATAAGGATGGTCTCTGTCTGGTTCATCCCTTTGCCCCTAGCACCTGATAGGGTGCCTGGAACACGATAGGCACTTAATAAACATGAACGCATATATGAATAACAAATAAATGAATGAATCCCAGGAATCGGAGGAGGGCACTGAGGTCCAGAGAGAGAGAAGCTATTCAAGGTGACTCAGAGAATAAAAACCGCTTCTCTTCCCATCCTCCGCTAAGCCTCTTGCTAAGTGAAAAATCCTAGAAAGATAGGCATTTGGCAGCTGACAATTTAAATTGCTGGGG